GGGCCAATTTCCTGTTGCTTGCACTTGTCACCAAAATTGCTAGGTTCCTCCTTGCTAAATCTATTTTGAGAGACTTTGATTCTTAAATTCAATACCTATAATCTATTGTCTGTGTGTCAGCCCACTCGTGCCTCAAACAATCCACTTGTACGGACTTCTCTTCACACCCTCCTTCCTTCCTGAGTTCCCTCAATTCCCTCAACTACACTTAGTTGCCTTGACTCATCCATCTGAATTTCCTTGTCTACTCACAAGTTAACTTGCTTGTCAAGATTTTAGTCATATTTCCTTCCTGCTTCTTCTAACAGACAAAATGTAAAACAGTCAACATAGGGGCCAGCATTGTGGTGTAATGGGTAAAGCCACTGCCTGTGATGCTGGCGTCTCATATGGGCACTGGTTCATGTTCTTTTTGTTCCACTTCTGATCCAGGTCTCTGCTAATGTCTGGGAAAAGTAATGGAAGGTGGCCCACGTGTTTGGGACACTGTCCCCCAAGTGGGAGACCTGAAAAAATCCCCTGGCACTTGGCTTTGGCTTGATCCAGCCCTGGCTCTATGGCTATCTAGGAAGTGAACCAGTGGATGTATGATCTATCTGTCTCTCCCTGTGCAATGCTGACTTTCAAATAAAACAATAATTTTAAAAAAGCAGTCAACATCAAAAGTAAATCTTAAGTAGAAGGACAAAATGGAAAAATTTCAGTAAACTCAAAGAAATATGTATCAATGCACCAAATTCTCATCTCATCTTCAACCTACTAGTATTATCTATTGAGTGGTCTTCAAAGAATTCATGTAAAATACATATTATGAAATACTATACATAGATTTCAAAAAATCTGCATCAAAGTAAACTTGCACTAATTTGTTATTACACATCTGAACAGGATCTTGTTGGAAGCACTGAGAGGGAAGATATGTCATTTTTGAAAACAGCACCTTTCAGAGCAAAATGAATGCTGCTAAAATAGAAGCAAGAGCAAGCATTCGATTTATTATGAAGCTTGGGTTAGTGAATTGTGAAACCATTGATGTTTTCTGAAAAGGCTATGTGGAAAATGTCCCCAAAGAAATCTGCAGGATACACTGCAGTACCTGTAATCTATTGTCTGTTCAAGATCATGTTGAAGTTTAAGTCTGTGGTGACAAAGTATCCACATCAATTTGCAAGGAAAAAAGTAATCTTATTCATGCCCTAATTAAAGAGACCCAATAATTAACACTGGAAATAATAGCTAACACCATGGACATCTCAACTTATTCCACTTACATAATTCTGAGAAGTTAAAGTGGAGCAAGCTTCCCACTCAATGGATGCCAAAACTGTTGCACACAGATCAGCTACTGAGAGGAGCCGAGCATTCAACACAACAATGTACGTGATCCTGAAGCATTTCTTGGAAGATTTGGAACAGGAGATGAAATATGGCTTTACCAATACGAACCTGAAGACAAAGTACAATCAAACCAATGGCTACCAAGAGGTGGAGATGGGCCAGTCAAAGCCACAGTGGACAAAAGCACAGGTCATGTCCATAGTTTTTAGGATGCTTAAGGCATCTTTCTTGCTGACCTTCAGGAGGAACTTACGAGAGTGTAAAGTTAGCCAAAGCCTTAGCAAAATAATTTCCTGGAGAGTTTCTCTCGAGAGTTCTCTTTCACTGTAACAAGGGTCCTACTCATCCATCTCATCAAACAAGGACAATTTTTTTGAGATTTCAGCGGGCAATAGGAAATCATTAGCCATTAATCTTATAGTCCCAATTTAGCTACCTCTGACTATTCTTTCTGTTTCTTAATCCTAAAAAAAAATAAAATAAAAAACAACTTTTAGGAGTGGGTTTTGGTGCAGCAGATGAAGCTGCCACTTTGGGCGCCTGCATCCTGTATCAGAGTAAATGGGGTAAACTTAAACTTCCCCCTCCACCTCTGATCCAGCTTTCTATTAATGTGCATCCTTGGAGGCAGCGTATGATGGTCCAAGGACGTGGGTTCCTGCCACCCGTGGGAGACCCAGATGGAGTTCCTCATTCCTAGCTTCGGCCTGGCCCAGCTCCAGCTGTTGCAGGCATTTGGGGAGTGAAGCAGTGGATGAAAGATTTATCTCTCTGTTCTTTCTCTCTCTCTCTGTCACTTTTGCCTTTAAAAAAATCAATAATTTTATAATAAAAATTTCTGATTAAAGATACCTATTTTTCATCAGTTAATAATGTAAAAAAATCTATATTGATTTAATGAAATTTCAAGGACCCTCACTCAGTTCCTTAGAGATGAACTAAGTGGCTGATATCATTGCACAAAAGTGTCTTGAAACTGGTGGGAGTTTATGTTAAGAAATAAATTACATATTTTTTAAATTTTTATTTAAGGTATACAAACTTCATGCATTTCATATATGTAAAAATAATGTTTATATTTTAATTTCTCCTTTTCTTCCACTTTTTTGTTCTGATACTTTATTTTTTCATGTTAAGGTAATTTTAATATAGTGAGAACAGATTCAGTGTAGTTCATAGATACAACTCTAAGAATATAATGATATTATATTCCTCCCCCCCTCCCCTCCCCTCACCCACTCTCTGTTCCCCTCCCCTCCTCTTTACTTCCCTTCCCTTCCCTAAAGTTCCAGTCCAAAAAAGGGGGAATCCGAGCCGTTCTTCAAATATACCCCCTTTTCTCACATATATAAAAGGCGCGCTGGGTTGCTATTCAAAAAAAATTTTAAATTTTCCCCCCCACCTAGTTTTAATTACTGTTACAGCCGTGGTCTTAATAAACAACTAAATAATAAAATGACTCTAGTTCAGTGGTCATATAGGCAAGGGCTGTAATCATGTTTTGCAGCTCCTTTGTGTAAATGTGCCTGTTAACATTTTGGGAGCTTACCTTTGCATAGAGCTCAATTAGATATAATTAATTGAGAATAAAAGATAGAATCCTGACATTGGGTCAAAAAGCATGAAGTACAATTTTCAGATTTCTTTCTCAGCATTGTTGTTTTGAATACTTATTTTCAGGATTGAACAAATGATATCATACCCATAAATTGCACATTTTGTTTATTTATTTATTTATTTTAGAAAGCATGTTCCCAAACATCTAATTGCCATTTTAAATATTAGACTTCTGTAATCATTTGAACATAAATGCATTATTTTCTGCCAAAGACCAGAGCAAGAGTAGAGACCTTAAAACTGCCCTTACTAGGACACGAACGATGTCCCGCTGATCAGTGGTCTTTCTGCTCCTCAGTTGTTGAACTCTTTATTCACTGGAACATTAAGCCTGCAACTGTAAAGTAGATTAAAAATGTTATCATAAAAATTAAAAAGAGAAAGAAAGGAAGGGAGAATAGGGGGTGGAAGAAGGAAAGTATCATTGTATTCATAGAATTGTATCTATGAGCTACATGAAATCTGTTCTCTTCACATCAATTTTAAAAATAAATTCATTAAAAACAGAGGTAATTAGGCCGGCGCCGTGGCTCACTAGGCTAATCCTCCGCCTGTGGCGCCGGCACACCGGGTTCTAGTCCCGGTCTGGGTGCCAGATTCTGTCCCGGTTGCTCCTCTTCCAGGCCAGCTCTCTGCTGTGGCCAGGGAGTGCAGTGGAGGATGGCCCAGGTGCTTGGGCCCTGCACCCCATGGGAGACCAGGATAAGTACCTGGCTCCTGCCTTTGGATCAGCGCAGTGCGCTGGCTGCAGCGCGCCCGCCGCGGCAGCCATAGGAGGGTGAACCAACGGCAAAGGAAGACCTTTCTCTCTGTCTCTCTCTCTCTCACTGTCCACTCTGCCTGTCAAAAAAAAAAAAAAAAAAAAAAAAAAAAGAAAGAAAGAAAGAAAAAGAAAGAAAAACAGAGTTAGTGAGTGAAATGCCTGGCATTTGCTTATTATGCCTTTGCATTGCAGGGTGTAAAGATTTTGCTTTTTAATAACTAAGGAGTCATATACAATAGAAAAATTAATCATGATCAGAGTGATTTCAATCTGGACCACTTTATATATATTTTTTTTTTTGACAGGCAGAGTGGACAGTGAGAGAGAGAGACAGAGAGAGAAAGGTCTTCCTTTGCCGTTGGATCACCCTCCAATGGCCGCCGCTGCAGCCGGCGCACCGCGCTGATCCGATGGCAGGAGCCAGGATCCAGGTGCTTTTCCTGGTCTCCCATGGGGTGCAGGGCCCAAGCACCTGGGCCATCCTCCACTGCACTCCCTGGCCATAGCAGAGAGCTGGCCTGGAAGAGGGGCAACCGGGACAGAATCCGGCGCCCCAACCGGGACTAGAACCCGGTGTGCCGGCGCCGCAAGGTGGAGGATTAGCCTATTGAGCCACGGCGCCGGCTACCACTTTATATTTTGTCTTGTCTGACCTAAGCAAAATATTGTTGCGATTGGGGCAACTCAATAAATTTAAATAATTTATTGTGTAAATGAATTTAAGGCACTTGTTTGAAGTTTGAATATGTATATAAACCTTGGGCCCCTGCACCGGCATGGGAGATCCGTAAGAAGCTCCTGGCTCCTGGCTTTGGATCAGCACAGCTCCAGCCATTGCGGCCAACTGGGGAGTAAAACAGCAGATGGAAGACCTCTCTCTCTGTCTCTACCTCTCTCTGTAACTCTGTCTTTCAAATAAATACAATTTTAAAAAAATGTATATAAAAATAGTTACAGAAAACCGACCTTACCTCCCATTCAAATCCTGTTTACATTAAACATCCTTTGAGTTTATTTGAAAGTTACACACTTTTGTAATGAAGCTATTGTTTGTCAGTCTATTCCACATGGGAACTATAAAATAGGCTTTTAGTTGTTCATTAAATACTTGTTACATAAATTTGAAAAGTAATGAATGAACACATTTCAGAAAATAAAAAAAAATATTATAATAAGGACATTACTCATTTATTAAAGGAGAAGTAATTTCTTAATACATGAATAGGAAGTACTACATGGAAGATCCTAAATAAAAAATGTGATGTTGCTTCTCCATTTTCTGTAATGAAATATGTAATTAAATCATTAATAAATATAGTTAAAAAATCTTGAGAAATTGAACATGGGATTTGCTGTCATAATAAACATGTTCTGGTTCAAGAGTCATCCAACGGTATCACTGATAACTGGGTAGAAATATCAAAGACTTCCTGTAACATCTGTCGCAACACCATCTTCCTGAAGTTGTCCTCTGTGTAGGAAATAATGGATTTTAACATCCCCTGTATTATAGAAATATTTCGAAAATCAACAAAGGATAGATTATTTCCTAAGTACGAAAAGAAATTGGGTGTCAGAGGGAAACTTTGAATTCTGAGGATTTTAAAGCTGAGGAAAAGGCTTTCTCTGGGACAGATGGTTCTCACATCTTAATTGTGTTACTGCTCCCTGCCAGCTCTCCTGAGTCTGATACCAGGACCCAGAGGAAAAGGGTAAACTTGGTACAGTCGTACAGAGTAAGGTAGGGAGCCGTGACTCCTGGCCTCCAGAAGCGGTGGCACTAGCAAGCTGGGGAGTGGCTCATACAAGTCCAATTGTCTCTGGGCTTCAGTTTCATTCCCTTTAAATGAGTGCACTGGGTTAAATTATATTCCGGTTTCTGATGGACTGTCTATGGGTCTTATTTCCCTATGTTTGTTTCTAAATGCTCAAATACTACATTATTTAAGGTATTTTTGTCATGCCCCCACCCCCCATCTCTTTCTTCAATATATGGGATAGGAGGACACTAAGTCTGAGGGGAAGGAGGAGGAAGAAAATCAGCTTCAGGAAGGGTTTATATCCTCATCTACAAGCAAGCTTAAATAGAGCTACCACCGCTCTGAGAGGAATGGTTTACATCCAAACAGCACTTTCCAGACACGCTCTGTACTTTTTTGCCAACAGAATTAACTTTAAACTGAAGGCAGTAGACAGTTAAACAAGAGTCGACACTGGGAACAGCTGTGAGTAGACCAGACCAGTTACTTATAAGGTACTGTTTTTTCCCTCATTGAAATCTTCAGGGTTCATGTGTTTCCGGACAGAATTCTGCGGTCACTTTACCTCCTGTTTCTCCCATCTCACGTCTGTTCTGAAGGAAACCACTTTCCTTTAAAACTTTTTTTTTTCTCCTCTTCTAGCTGTCTTGTTTTATGACTGCTGATATTTGAACCTGATAGGACTTTTTTTGTTTTTGTTTTCAGGTACCAAATGGGTGATGTTTTTGTTGATTTATTTGAAAGGGTTGTAGAGCTTTGTTCCTTTGTTGCATGTTATCCTGTGCAGTTCTCATGTTTTATTGTTTGTGTTGGATGAAGAGGAGTGGATCTGCCTTCACACTACAGAATGTACAGGGTGTTCCTGACTGTGGGGGAGGGCTGGTTAATCATCTTCAACTTGAAGCACAGAACAAAAATGGAGCGAATCAGCCAGGAGGAGCGGGGTAGAGTGCTGTCAGTGAGACTCACTCCACACAGCTTGGTAGAGCTGACCTGGAAAGTATACTGTTTGGGATCAAGGCTTGCTTCCAGTTGACTTCTGTGTTTAATGGTTAATTTTAACCCTTCCTTCTCTATTCTCTTATTTATTTTTATTAAATTCTGGTAAGCCTGCTTGTCTTTTCCTCGGTTGAAGTTTTAGTTTAAGCTTCTCCGGCTAAAGGAGCACACCTTCTCGGAGTGGCATTTGTGGTAAGATAAAGGAAGTGGCCCAGAGTGGCTGTGAGGTGGGTGGGCAGGATGGACCCTGTGGCTCCGTTCATTCCAAGTGCCACCCTCCCTAGTGGCCCAGCTCACTGATAACGAATTTGCCACTGGTCAGTGAGCAGTCAGCAGAAACAACGAGGGAATTCTACAACTGAGGAGTTTCCCAAAAGCGGTATTTGCAAGTTTACCACTGAAAACTTTAAATATTTTTGGAAAAAATGAGCCCCCCCCCCTTTTTTTTTGGATCATCCTCTTTCTGAGATCTTCTATATGTCTTGATCGCTCTCTGGAGGGGAATAAATGCAGTCTGGTGTTTTCTGGATAGTAGTGCCTCATCGTGGATACACATAGAATTATTCCACACTGCGGTGAAACCTTTGGTGGAGGGTCAATGCTTAGATGGGCAACGCTGTTACTTCTTATGTCACAAGGTCACAAAACCACTGTACTTTTTAAATTCATGTACTCTTTTTATTGTGGCACATTCTTTTCTCCCGGGTCTGCCCTCTCTATGGAAGAATTATTCTTATTGTCCTAGGCAGTTTTGCGTAGCTGTAACAATCCCCTTCAAACACAGCCATCTCTTTGTAATCATATCTTGTTTGAGCAAAAGAAATAAAAACAGAAAGTTTATAAAGAATTATGGATGGAATAGGAGACAGTAAGTTTTTCTGACAGCCCAAGAGATTCTCTTATGAGAAAAGTGCATGTGCCAAAGAGCAGAGACACAGTGACGTGTATTCTGGGTGCTCAGGGTTCTTGGGCTTGAGTCCAAGTTCTCAGTTGTGTTCTGCAGTAGAGGTTGCCATGGAAGTGGTTCTGGAATAAGTAACGTGTTACTGCATCTGACACAGAAAGTGCTGTTTGTTTTCCTCTTGATAAAGTTACTGGAGGTAAGTGTCAAGGAATCAGTGACTAACCAAATCCCCAGAGGCAGAGCTAACATTCATCAGGCACTGACTCTTTTATTTTAATCCCATTCACACACACATGCTGTTCACATGCTCAGCTGGGAAATGGGAAATAGCTCAATAATACTGTGTAGGAAAGAGAGAAAAGGAAGAAACTACTGGTCTTCTGGTTTGTGCAGTTTTTCTGTGTAGAGCTGATGCTTTAAGGAAAAAATGAATAAGATAGGCCTAATTTTCCCAACAAAAAATGTTTTAATTTCTTGAACCATATTGTCACTTCCTTGAAACTTCTTTTAAGCTGAGAAATCCTATGAAGCAATTTTATAAACCCTGTACATTTGGTTTAACAGCACAGTATATGCCAATATGTGGTTTTTTTTAACTTACAATGTTTTTATGTTGTGCATTTCAGTGTAAAAAACAACTCACTGGTTTCTAAATGATCTTGATCATGATGATAATTATTCTTATTATTCCTACCCCTAACAAGAAAATAAATAAAAGTGGATAAATTAAATAGGTACATGATGCTATAAACTGAGTCTAGGGCAGTTTTAAATTCTGACTTTAATTAAAATTCTTTGCTAATTAGTTCATCATATGATTTTGGAATTGTGTTTTGAGGCCTTTTTTGTATTAGAGGTCCTTTTGTGTTTTACATTTGATTTAAAAATATAAGGTTTACTTAGTCACTGTAGAAATTTCATGAAAGCAACTTGTGGGGTTCTCTTGTATGACAAACTCTTCTGTTTAAAATAATGAGTTACGAATTGTGTTTTGTCTACAACAGTGACTCTGGGATCTACATATGATTGGCAGATTTTTCTGAGAAATTGTCCAATAATTTTGCTTGTTTTTGCTTTCTCCTTCCTGAAGTTAAGTGGCATGACTTGTTTTAAAATGTATCACTGTTCCAGCTGGAACACAGCTTTTTAAAACTGAAAATACACTATTTTAAACCATTGCAGTAATGCTCATCTTCACTTGTGAATCTTTCAGTTTCATTAAAACAATTCTTATACTCATGCCTAATCAGGGAACTTGACCTTTTAAAGAATATGTATCTTATAATGAGAACTCTAGTATTACTTTAGTACTTAAAATTCCTGAAAAGTCAATGTCATCATGAATACCCACCGAGAAAGACTTCAGTTTACAAAGATACTTGTTAAAAACTAAAAAAAGAGGTGTCAATGTTGTGGCATAGTGGGTGAAGCCACTGCTGGCATCCCGTATAGTGCTGGTTCGTGTCCCAGCTGCCCCACTTCCAATCCAGCTCCCTGCGAATGTACCTGGGAAAGTAGCAGAAGATGGCCTGAGTGCTTGGGCCCCTGCAACACACATGGGAGATGTGGAAGAAGCTCTTGGCTCCTGGTTTAGTCCTGGCCCACCCCTGGCTGTTATGCCCATTTGGGGAATGTACCAGTGGATAGTACATTTCTCTCTCTCTTTCTATCTCTCTCTTCTTTATCTCTCTCTCTCTCTCTGTCTGTCTTTCAAATAAATAAATAATTTTTTTAAACAACTGAAAAAGAAACTACAGAGAACAATTAATGCATGTTCGGGTTCACTGGTAATGTCTTATATGAGTTCTTGGCACACCTTCACGAGAATGCTGAGTGAGGACTCAGCCTTTCATAGACTGGAACTCAGTGAGTAAGGCTTGTGGTTTCCGAGGGGCTGTCCAACCTGACGGTGTACGTTCTAGATGAGGGATGGAAGCTCTCAGGATGTCTGGAGTTGTCGAACAAAGAAAAGACGGTTTTGTTTTCATAAAGCTTCACATTTACTTCATTTTCATTGCTGCCTCTCAGAGAAGAGAGGCTGCTCAACTTGACATGAGTGTGCCCTTATAGATTGACCTTTATTTAATGTATTAAATCGGTGCATTTGGACAATTTAAGAGGCAATGTGGTCCAACACCAAGATTATTGTTATGCTTCTTAGTCATGCAATAAGTGTTTCTTGAATGAATATAAAGCCTTAAAGTAAAAGTTATTGACAAATAAAATTATGGTAAAACAGCTATTTTAGGTCAGATTTTATTATTGAATATTTGTTGCTTAGTTTATTGCTGGGTCATGATAAAACATGAACACCGCAGTGAGCAATACCTCTTAAATGATGAAATTGCTATTAACAGTAATTTAGAACTGTAAATTGTGAAAGAAATAGCAGTATCTGTAGCCAAGAATTCAAAAACTCCAGTTGAAGAAAATGAAAGAATCAAGTGTTTTTCTATACCTATTTTTGTTTTATTTTGCTATAGGTGTTGTAGGAACTCTTTGTATATCATTCGGAACACTTTGTGGGGCAGAGAGGGGTTTAAAGTGTGTTGTTACATTCTGTGGCCATGCTGTGCCTAATAGAATATGGTTCCCATTGTTAGGGACTTACATTGTTTCAGCTTGTTCTGTTGTGAATTACATTAGGGTAAGCATTCTTTTACATAGGATTTTTTCTTGTGGAAGCAAATATTTATTTATTTACTCATTTATTTTTACCTAGAAACCTTTTATTTAAGGTATACAAACTCCATGCATTTCATATATACATATTTAGGAACATAGCGATTCTTCCCATTCTACCCTCCCTCCCACCCACATTCCCACCCTTCTTCCTCCTCTCTCTCCTATTCCCATTCTTATTTTTCACAGAGATCTATTGTCTATTAACTTTATACACATAAGATTAACCCTACACTAAGTATAGAGGTCAACAAATAGTATGAAAAGAAAATAAATCTGTTCTGTTCAAAATCATCCCATCTCAAAGTGTCAATTTCATTTCTATAGATTACCTTTTAGTTACTCTGTTAGTTACCACAGATGAAGGAGTACATATGGTATTTGTCTTTTTGGAACTGGCTTATTTCACTAAGTATAATAGTTTCCAGTTGTATCCATTTTGTTACAAAGGACAGCATTTTATTTTTTAACACTATGTATATGTAGTATTTCATGGTGTGTATATACCATAATTTCTTTATCCAGTCTTCAGTTAATGGACATCTTAGTTGATTCCATAGGTAAGCTATTGTGAATTGAGCTGCAATAAACATGGGGGTACAGATCACTCTGTCATATGCTGCTCTCATTTCCTTTGGGTAAATTCCCAGAAGTGGGATGGCTGTGTCATATGGTAAGTCAATACTTAGATGTCTGAGGAATCTCTCATTCTACCTTCCACAGTAGCTGTATCAGTTTACATTCCCACCAACAGTGAATTAGGGTGCCCTTTTCCCCACATCCTCGCCAGCATTTGTTGTTTGTTGGTTTTTTTGCTCAGTTGACTATTTTAGAACAGAGTCACTTAGAAATTAGTAAGCCTGATCCCTCTGCTTTTTACAGTCAGGAAATGAAGTCCAGACATATTAT